CGTTTGTGTGTCTGCATGTTCCAGATCTTCTGATGCCTAATATGTTTTGGGATTTTTTTAGTTTCAAAAGAGTATGAATAAGCTTATTAGTAAATCATTTTAGAATTTCCTTAATTTTTATTTTTACTTCAAAATTCTCTTCAGATCCTAATTTATGGTTTTGCTTTTGCCACTTTTGTATTGTTGTTTTCCCTGCTGACATGAGTCTTGGACTTGTACAGGAAGATGATTGACTGAAGGACTGATGGACGCTCCAGTCCTGTACAGTGTAAATACAGTATATGTACATATGAAAAAGCTTGAGATGTACAAAGTTTCTTCAAATCTTTTTGGTAGAGAGCCTGAATAAATGTTTGAATGGCAAAACATGTGAAACGCTGTTTATTGTGTTGCAGTGTGTTAGTGAAGCTGTATATCATGTGTTTTAACATGCCAACTCATGACAGTATATGGATATAACTTTGCACAGCAGACTGATTTTTGTCTCAAAGACGTATGTGTGTATTTGTAATGGTTTGTATTTTATGGTGACGACTGTGAGATTTCCTGTGTTGATCAGCAGCATTTCACTGATGCTGGAAATCATGCTTGTATGTCATTTAACCCTCGTGCTGCTGAAAAACCTTTACCTTATTTGCTTTTCCAAATGAACAGCCTTTAAAAATGGCTTGTAAATCTTTCATTATGCTATATTGTCACCAAAACGTGGATTCAATTGTTTTATCAACTTGTCTTCTTTCAATTAGCACAGGTTTTTTGATTTCTTCTTTGATCCTAGTCCTCATTAATCTTTGCTCATTTTTCTTAGCTCAGTTTTTGAGTGAATATTGGCAAAATTATCTACAAATAATGCTTTTTTTTTTTTCAAGTTCCAAAAGTAAAAACCGATGTTAATTGAAAGAAAACTAATTTTAAAAAGATTGAATCCAGTATATGGCAATAATGTCTTAATGAGAAAATTATGAGCAATTTTTGTATGCCAGTCATTTTTGACCAGGAGCACCACAAGTGTAACAAGATGAGAATTTTGTTTTTAATTATTATTAGTAGTAGTAGTTTTAAGTAGGTTTTAGTCCAATGCAATAACATTAAACTAGCATTTTCAGAAAGAAAAAAAAACCCTCTCCAGGTCAAAATGACTGGAACAAAACATGAGGATAAAAACATTTATTAATTTATGCATTTAAAAAAAAAAATTCTTTCAAAAAAACGTGTGGGAATACAGAGAGAAAAAAATACAATTTGTTTCAAATTGTTATATATATGGGGTGTTTTTAATGCTTTTTTTTTTATTGGAGATTTTTTGAAGTGATGATCCAGCCTAAGCAAATACATGGATATTATTGCTGGTTTATGATCTGAACCTACTGTTTATTATGCATGTCGTATGAGAGTGTCATAACACAAACAGCATGATGGTGCTTTCGGCTGTGAATGGAAGATCATTTGAAGTGTCTTGTTCACACTGAATGTGTGTATATTGGAGTGTTAGTTACCCTGTAGGATCCATATGTAAGTGCAGTTTTCCTTCAGGTCCTAGAGATGTAAGTGTTGAGTGGCACATAAATGGGCAGAAGCTCAAGACTCGCGTCACTGAATACAGACATGTGGTTTCCCATGATGCCGTGCTGGTGAGCAGCTGGCTGAAAGAGGAAGCTTTGAATAAAGACGTCCAGTACGAGTGTACAGCAGTGTCTGAAGCGGGAAACGACGTGTCTAAAGTGGACCTTCGGCTCAACAGCAGAGGTAAAGTGTTTCATCACACTGCCCGTGTTAGCCTGACCTGTAATGTGGTGTATCATGTCTCTGTTTGCTCGCAGATGAGGCCGGCGTTCCTCTCAGAGACGTGGAGCGCTGGAAACACGCTCTGACCGACCACAACACACTCCTGCAGCAGTGGAAGAAAGCATGGGTGAGTGAGAAAGACACAAACAAGTGAATAAATCACAGCATAATTGATTTTATAACACATTTTCTGAATGAAATGAAAATACATGAATCATCAGGAATGATATTTCACAGTTGCACAACTGTTTTCAACATTGATAATAATCAGAAATGTTTCTTGAGCAGCAAATCAGCATATTATACTGATTTCTGAAGATCATGTGACACTCAAGACTGGAGCAATGATGCTGAAAATTCAGCTTTGATCACAGAAATAAATTTAATTTTAACATATATTCACATAGAAAACAGCTATTTTAAATTGTAATAATATTTCACAATTTTTACTGTTTTATTGGGTTTGTGATCAAATAAATGCAGCATTGGTGAGCAGAAGAGACTCATCCCAAACTTTTGAATGTTATAGTTCATGTTTTATTTCAGACGCATTTTGGCTCACTGCACACATCTGTTGAAAGTGAAAGAGGCTTCGTCCAGTATTTATAAAAGCTGAACCAAAAAGATCTGCATTATTTATTTATAATGCATTTCCACATTTAAAGTGCTGCCTCATCAGACTTAGGGTTGGTACTGAGCTCAGTTAGACATAGAAAAGCTTCCTTAAAATTGTTCCAGTAAATACTGGGGGGAAAAATAATATTTTTTTTATTTTATGTTATATTTTCTTTTTATTTAAAAAAAATAATAATATTTTGTATTTTATTTTTTAGTTTATATTTATTTTATGTTATGTTATATGTTGTTATGTTATGTTATGTTTTTTTGTATGCCAGTCATTTTTGACCAGGAGCACCACAAGTGTAACAAGATGAGAATTTTGTTTTTAATTATTATTAGTAGTAGTAGTTTTAAGTAGGTTTTAGTCCAATGCAATAACATTAAACTAGCATTTTCAGAAAGAAAAAAAAACCCTCTCCAGGTCAAAATGACTGGAACAAAACATGAGGATAAAAACATTTATTAATTTATGCATTTAAAAAAAAAAATTCTTTCAAAAAAACGTGTGGGAATACAGAGAGAAAAAAATACAATTTGTTTCAAATTGTTATATATATGGGGTGTTTTTAATGCTTTTTTTTTTATTGGAGATTTTTTGAAGTGATGATCCAGCCTAAGCAAATACATGGATATTATTGCTGGTTTATGATCTGAACCTACTGTTTATTATGCATGTCGTATGAGAGTGTCATAACACAAACAGCATGATGGTGCTTTCGGCTGTGAATGGAAGATCATTTGAAGTGTCTTGTTCACACTGAATGTGTGTATATTGGAGTGTTAGTTACCCTGTAGGATCCATATGTAAGTGCAGTTTTCCTTCAGGTCCTAGAGATGTAAGTGTTGAGTGGCACATAAATGGGCAGAAGCTCAAGACTCGCGTCACTGAATACAGACATGTGGTTTCCCATGATGCCGTGCTGGTGAGCAGCTGGCTGAAAGAGGAAGCTTTGAATAAAGACGTCCAGTACGAGTGTACAGCAGTGTCTGAAGCGGGAAACGACGTGTCTAAAGTGGACCTTCGGCTCAACAGCAGAGGTAAAGTGTTTCATCACACTGCCCGTGTTAGCCTGACCTGTAATGTGGTGTATCATGTCTCTGTTTGCTCGCAGATGAGGCCGGCGTTCCTCTCAGAGACGTGGAGCGCTGGAAACACGCTCTGACCGACCACAACACACTCCTGCAGCAGTGGAAGAAAGCATGGGTGAGTGAGAAAGACACAAACAAGTGAATAAATCACAGCATAATTGATTTTATAACACATTTTCTGAATGAAATGAAAATACATGAATCATCAGGAATGATATTTCACAGTTGCACAACTGTTTTCAACATTGATAATAATCAGAAATGTTTCTTGAGCAGCAAATCAGCATATTATACTGATTTCTGAAGATCATGTGACACTCAAGACTGGAGCAATGATGCTGAAAATTCAGCTTTGATCACAGAAATAAATTTAATTTTAACATATATTCACATAGAAAACAGCTATTTTAAATTGTAATAATATTTCACAATTTTTACTGTTTTATTGGGTTTGTGATCAAATAAATGCAGCATTGGTGAGCAGAAGAGACTCATCCCAAACTTTTGAATGTTATAGTTCATGTTTTATTTCAGACGCATTTTGGCTCACTGCACACATCTGTTGAAAGTGAAAGAGGCTTCGTCCAGTATTTATAAAAGCTGAACCAAAAAGATCTGCATTAT